TTAAACCACCACCTTCTCATCAGGGTCACAGATTTCACCCGTAGTTGCATAGCTTTTAATTTTTAAGTATTCTAAGATCACATTTTAGCCATTGCACCATCTTTAACCTGGTCATAATGAGCCCCTCTCTCGCTCTCTTCTTCCTTCTCTCTTTCAACTCTCCCTCTCCCCCTGTGCCATTCCTTTCCCTCCATCTCCTCTTAAACCACCACCTTCTCATCAGGGTCACAGATTTCACCCGTAGTTGCATAGCTTTTAATTTTTAAGTATTCTAAGATCACATTTTAGCCATTGCACCATCTTTAACCTGGTCATAATGAGCCCCTCTCTCGCTCTCTTCTTCCTTCTCTCTTTCAACTCTCCCTCTCCCCCTGTGCCATTCCTTTCCCTCCATCTCCTCTCAACAACCCCCCCTGGACCTCGGACCCGGCCTTGTTTCTGTAGTCTCTGCACTTGTCTCCCATTAAGGTCCCAGCCACAGCGGGGCGGAAGCGGGAGCGGAAGCTCATCAGTGACGAGGACACTTCACTGTCTGAGAGCGATGCCTCCAAAAAGCCTGTGGAGGAGGAAGATGAAGAGACCACAGCCATGAGCATCAATGAGGAGATGCAGAGGATGCTGAACCAGCTGTGAGTGCCGCCCAGGCCTTACAGTGCCCCCCACCTGCTGAGACAGGCAGGGGTTGGAGTTGCTATGAGGTCTGTCACAGCCAGCGCTCCTGCCCTGTTCCCTACAGCTCTTCCCACTGTTGGGAGAGGCTGGCAGTGGAGTAGCTGAAACCCCACAGCCACGGGCCCTGCTGTGTCCATGGCAGCACCTTCCTGGGCCAAGATTGGGAGCCACCACCCCCCTACTCCCCATTAACATTCAGGCCTCACCTTTGTAGTGCTTCCTGCTGGGAGAGTGCCCCTCTCTGTGCTGACATGCATTTTCCTTGTCCGCAGGAGGGAGTATGATTTTGAGGATGACACTGACAGCCTTACGTGGGAGGAGACGGAGGAAACGTTGTTGCTCTGGGAGGATTTCTCTGGATATGCCATTGCTGCTGCAGAGGTGCAGGGGGAGGTAACATAGCTTCATGCTCCAGTCATACCCCATCTCCAGCTCCCCCCCTCCCCTGTACAACATGGGTCCCTCAACCCTATTTATGCTAATTCCTACACAACTCCCCACGTGGGATTGGACAGTTCCCTGCTGCCAGACATTCTTGTCACCCATGAAATTCTTATTCAAAGGCAGATTATTCAAAACACCCCTGGCTAGGCCCTTCACGGCCTACCCCTTCCAGTTAGATGCACCATCCTGCCCCTGTAGAATGCACCCGGATCTCCTTTTCAGACTGGCCTAAGGCCTTTTCTCTGCTGCTTGCCAAAGCCATTAAGCATAGAAGAGTCTGACCCAGCTGGGAAGGTACCATCTCTAGCTGCTCTGTGCTCCAGCAGCCCCTCATTGTGTCCCTTCAACCAGCCAGCAAGACTCAGGATTCAGTCCCTTGAGTGGAAAGGAAACCCATTCTTCACTGCTTAAAGATGAGGCCTGAAAATCCAACTGGCTGAGGCCCCTACGTAACCAGCACTCCAGTTGCATGCCTTGACCCTGGTGGGTTAACAGTTTTGGCATCTCAGGAGAGCTGTTGTGTGTCTGCCATAATCTGCAATGCTGTGCTTTTGCTGGACAAAACTTCACACTGCCCATGGTCCCAGGCCTTAAGCTCACATCCCTTCCCTGCTGCTAGATGAGAGCACCCTGGCCGATCAAGGGTCTATAAATGTAGCTCTACAAGCAGACATGGGGTCATGCTATAGTTGTGGTTTGTGAAATGGGATCGGTGTGAGTTGGGGACCCCCCCCCCCCCCCCCGCGTCCCCCTGCCCCACTCT